CGTGTGGAGGTCGGGCTCTCTCTGCCGCCCCCATCCTGGGGCAGCTACTCCCACGAACTCCTTGGGAGGCGGCTGCTTTTCCCGCAGGGCTCCGTCCACGGGCCCCAAGCCAGCACCTGCCTGTCTTCTAACAGCAACAAAGCTTTCCCAATGGGAAGGGTCCCCCTGCCACGGAGCCTGCCCATGCTGCCTGGTTTGATTGTGAGGCCTCATTTTATAGCTGTAATGCTACAGGTTGCTTTTTACAATGCAGGCCCGTACGCGGAGGAAGGTAGAAGGGAGGGGATAGTGGTATTGAATGTATCAAAGCCAGCACCTGCCTGTCTTCTAACAGCAACAAAGCTTTCCCAATGGGAAGGGTCCCCCTGCCACGGAGCCTGCCCATGCTGCCTGGTTTGATTGTGAGGCCTCATTTTATAGCTGTAATGCTACAGGTTGCTTTTTACAATGCAGGCCCGTACGCGGAGGAAGGTAGAAGGGAGGGGATAGTGGTATTGAATGTATCAAACAGGGCTGGGCAAAAAGCCTCTGGATCCAGCCTGTGGGAGCCTCAGCCGGCTCTCTGCCTCCCCTGTCTCTGCTCCGCACCCAGGGAAGCCGGCTGCTGCGGGGCCATATGCTTCTGTGAATGCTGAGAGCCCAGGGAAGGGGGAAGAGGGTTCTCACACTGCTCCCGCCCCCCAGTAAGTCCCATTGGCCCATTTCTGGCCAATAGCAGCTGCCTGTTTGCAGGACAGGCAGCGTGTGGAGTGCCCCTCTCCCCTCATGCCCAGGCTGCGAGTGTTTGCAGCAGCAAACATGGCCCCTATAGCTGCTGTGAGCATTGCAGAGGTGTGGCCAGAGCCAGAGCCTGCCTTTGGCACCCGAGGTGGGGCCGGCAGGGGCTGCTGGCTGGGAGCCACCCAGGTAAGGTCTCTCAGCCAGAGCCTGCCTTTGGCACCCCAGTTCCTCCCTCCCCCTTCCCCCAACCCTCTGCTCCCCTCCTCCATGTAACCCAAACTTTCTACACTCCTGCTCCTGTCCCCAGACATCTTCCCAGACGCTGCATCCCCCCTACACCCCTCCTCTGGTCACAATCATTTTACCAACCAGTGTTTCCACTCCACTTGCTCACTAACCTCTTATGCACACTCATGGCATGACTGTTTTGAACTCCTTTATATTTAAAAAAATTGCCGTCCACGTTTACAAAAAAGCCCACCCCGACACAAATGCAGAAATTCCTGCAAACGGGCCTGCCACATGCATCTGTCTCCTCCCTCGTGTTTCCCACCTTTCTCTTGCAGCTGCGGTGCATGATGCTCAGCGTATTGTACACCACAGGTGGCTAGCTCCTCATGGACTTTGAGCCCGATTCTGCTGTCCCGGACACTGGGTTAGGTGGCTTCTCGTGGACTTTGGGCCCGATTCTGCTGTCCCGGACACTGGGTCACACCCTGCCACACTGTGCTGAAGGGAGTAGAGTTCCTCTGCATTTACAGGGATGACTGAGAGCAGGAAATGCCCTTTATATTGCAATGGGGGGCAGGTGATGGACCACTCACTGCCCCGGGGGAGCCACTATCACAGCGGGATTCCCACTAACCTTCCAGGGGCTGCTCAGACCCCAGCAGCTCAGCAGGGTAAGTGCAGGTGTCACTATCTCACCCTTAACATCCATTTTCTGTCCGTGGATGCCCAGCCAGCCTTGTGGCTCTCCACGTGTGACAGTAACAATGTGATAACACTGCCCTGACCATTAGCTAAGCCCTGACCCCAAATGCCACAGCGCTACCAGCCTAGGACTCCTTGCCAGAGAATGCGGTGAAGGCTAGGACTTTAACAGGGTTCAAAAAAGAGCTAGATAGATTCATGGAGGTTCGGTCCATCAATGGCTATTAGCCAGGATGGGGAGGGAAGGTTTGTCTGGAAATGGATGACAGGAGAGGGATCACATGAGGATTCCCTGTTGTGTTCGCTCTCTCTGGGGCATCTGGCATTGGCCACTGTCGGCAGACAGGATACTGGGCTAGATGGACCATTGGTCTGACTCAGTGTGGCCAGATATGTTCTTATGACTGGGTTTCCATGAGATTGCTCCCTCCACATACAGTCCATGCTTGGATGAGAAACATCCTCTGGTATAGAAGGGAGCTTTGCAAATTCGTAGGGGACAGTTTCACCATCAATCAGAACCAAATTCAAATAAGGATAGGGGGCGCTGTGGTACAGGAAGTGACGCCTTCCGGTCAAGATGTAAATATGATGACCCCTCTCTCGACACATCGATCCTGTGTGGCTTTCTTCAAAGAATGGAGGTGTCAACCCAGAACGAGGGTTCAGAGAAATGACTATGGAGAAGGTTGTATTTCAATTTTTTTTTTTTCTCTTCCCCTTCCTTTTTTTTTTTTTTTTTTTTTTGTATCCCCTGTCCTGTTTTCTTTGTGGGCCCGTCAGTTACAGAGGAGCATTTCTATTATTGTATGTCAGAGCTGCATATTCAGTCTGAAACAGAAGAAAAGAGCAGATATTACAACTTTCTTTTGCAAAGTTCAAAGGGCATCAACTGATCCAATTTTGTGTTCTAAGACTGGGAAAAACATATTTCCGTAGTAAAGAACTCTTGATTGCTGTCATTTGCCCTGGTAGCCTCGTGTGGTGGCTGGCGGATGTTGGTGGCTTTGTGATATACATAAGGTCAGACTAGAAGTTTGGGTCAATCACAGAAATATACACCACACTATTTCACATCCCTGTCCTGCAGCCACCTCTGGGGTGGAACTCAGCCATTCTTCTGTACTAATAAACCCACACAACCCAGAAGAGCAAAGAAGAGTAAACCCAGAAGAGCAAAGAAGAATAAATTCAAACGAAACCTCTGAGAATTTGGAAGGCAAGGAGCAGAGACTAGGTTAGAAATTGGCCTGCACACTGGTTCTCATCGGCTGTCAATCCTGTGTCTTTCTGATAGAGCAATGATGGAAAAATCAATTTACCTGCGGGATCTGCCTCATCGGTATTGGATTCCCTTTTTGCACAGCTCTTCCTGAGGGATGAAACAGACAAAGGGACAGTGATAGGATTGTGTGGTGAGTGACTGTTTTATGACAGAGAGAGTTTTGACTGAGTTACCTCTGGTCGGGCACTTTCTCCAGAGCAAGATCGAGAGCTGGATCAGGAGCAGGATGAAAATACAGGGCAACCCAGCGTAGAACACAATCCTACAGTCTGCTGCAGAGAGAAGAGAGACCGAGAAGAGAAAACATGGGCTGCTGTTCTCTATGTCCCATGCAACACCATGAGCTAAGGGAGGTCTTTTCCCCAAAGCACCACACCTGTTGTTCGGTGGTCCGGGGCAGTGGTTCTGAAGCCAGGGTATAAGTACCCATAGGGGTAAATCAACTCATCTAGCTATTTGCCGAGTTTTAACGCAGGCTAAATAAAAACGTTCGCAAAGTCAGTTCAAAGTGAAATTTCATACAGAGAGCAACATGGTAAAACAACGCTCTACAGCAAGGCTACTCAACACGCAGCTTGTGGGCTGCATGCAGTCTGTTTGTTTGTGGCCCGGGGTACAGTTTGGGTTTACACAGGGCTCAACACGTGGCCCATGGTAGGGGCCCAAACAAAAATGGTAGCCAATAGAATGGTCTTCTGTAGATACTCGTTTTAGTAGTTAAATTCCTGGACTGTCATTGCTCATTAAAAGTGCTATCATATGGGTGGAAATCAGGTAAATATTGCATTTTATTAATATCAGCAGAACTGACTTTTTAAATGGGGCCTGTGTGTTGTGTAGTCTTGCCTTAATCTTTGTCTTCATGCCCGTCAGCGTGAAAGATGCTAGTTGCATAAATTTGCATATATATTTGCATGAATATGCAATCACACTTAAGTTGCAACCCTTGGCATGTAATGTGAGTATCATGTGGCCCCTGGGGCTTCCAAAGTGAAGTAGCCCTGCTCTACAGGATGAACTGAAGTGTAAGTCCAGTGTGTATATCCCGATTGATTTCTCATTCTCTGGTAAAGTGAGCAAGTCAGCCACTACTCAGTAGCAGAGCAGAGCAACACTTGGGTATGTTTCTCTGTGATCGTGTGAGCAGGGCGTTTTAAGGGAGGTGTAACTCGGGGCTGCGTGAGAGAAATCCGGCTCCTGAGAGGGGCCTGGTGTTATGGGAAGATTGAGAGTCACTGCTCCGTGGCAGGCTGGCTGGCTGTATGTGGAGGGCAAGGAGCCTGAGAAAACCAGGGAGAGGGACCTTGCAAAGCAATCTCTCGTGGGTATTGTGTCTCTTCTCTGCCTCCCGCCCCCCAGGAGTCTTGTCGGGGCGAATCTTCAAGTTCCATGGTCAGATCACAGGTGGGTTCTCTTTCCCAGCACAAATGTGTGTAAATGCCGGGGCAATTAGGCAGCGACCCAGGCTTTGGGAAGGGCTGACACTTGGTGCCCAGATGCCATGGTGAGGGGCTTAGGATAAGTGCCCAGGGAGGCAAGTGAGGTTGGAGGACACGATACTGGACCTGTTTCCTTGGCGACGGTAACACTGATGTGTCTCTCTGTGCCATTCTCCTTGGCTGTACAAGTGCAGCTCGTCCCCTGGTTCCACCTCTCGGACGGGATTGTCGTTAGGCTCCGGATGCTGTAGACCCCGTCCCCATCTATGGCTCCGGCATCCTTCTGGCCCTCCGACGGCCCCTCCCCGGTGTCCCAGAGAACGGTGCTCCAGGGGGGAGTGAAATCCAAGAGCAGGCAGAGCAGGGGCAGGTGGTGGTGGGGAAGCTCAGCATCCCCCGGGTCGGAGGGCGCCAGGACAGAAAGTCTTGGCTCAGAGGCATCTAAAAGAGTCAGAAACAAGAGATTGGAAAGACATACCAGTTATAGCATAGCTGGTCCCTTTTCCCCCAACTCTCCCCCCCAGTCCCTGCCCCATGAGCGCAGCATGTTTGAAATGTCCAAGGCTTTGTCTAAGCCTGTTTGAAAGCCATTGTCTTTCATTATGGGGCGTGCACCTTGGGAGACCCCCACAATCCATCACACTTCAGAAGTTTGCCCATTAAGGATGATATGCTGAGTGCTGACAGCACGTTCGGTTTGGTACAAAGGCAGAGGAAGTGCTGGTCAGTCTGGTGTGAAGGACACCAGAGCAGCCGTCAGGAGGATGGAGATCCATTTCCAACACTGGGAAGGTTGGGCGACAAAAGTGCTGTCAACGTGGAAAAGTCGCTCAAAAGTGGAACCAGTTTTTCTGTCCCCGGCCCTCTTGACATTTCACGGCCACCTGGCTAGCTCTCCGGACGACAGACAGAGCAAAGCAATGTGCAGAGGCAGAGGCCTAGCCAGGGGGGAAGGGGAGGGTGGCCGTGGCCCCCGGGCGCCACACTAGGGGGGTGCCGGGCTGGGCTGCGAGGGGGGGGGGGCACTGGGCTCGGCTGAGCTGTAGGAGGAGAGAGGTGCTGGGAACCCAGGGCTGGACTCAAGGGGAGGGAGGGAAGGAGGAGCAAGGAATCAGCGCTGAGCTCAGCAGCTTTGTGCAGTTTCAGGGGAGGTGCAGGGAAGCCGAGCTCAGGTGGGTTTTAAGAGTGAAGAGGTGCGGGATGCTGAGCTGGGCTGCGGGGGGAGGAGGAGGTGCGGAGCTCGGAGCCCGGCTTGGCTGCAGGAGGAGGGAGGAGCCGGGAACTCGGAGCTAGACTCAAGGGGAGAGAGAGGGAGGAGCAGGAAATCCGCGCTGGGCTCAGCAGTTTTGCGGGGTTTGGGGGGAAGTGCAGGGAAACGGGGCTCAGCTGGGCTGTGAGGGGCTGCAGGGAACTGGTGCTCTCAGGCGCAGGGAACCACTGGGGGTGGGCAGCTCAGCTCGGTTGCAGGGGATAGAGGTGCAAAGAAGCCAAGTGGGCAGGAGGAGGCACCAGAAGCCCTGAAATGACCCCCCCTGGTCCAAAAAATCCCTCATCGGGGACCAGTCAAGTCCAGAGGGTACCAGACCAGGGAAATCCAACTCCTATCCAAGTCCCCTCCTTACACCCTCCCTCCTAGCCAGACACCCTGCCCCCCAATCTGCTCCCTCCTCCTGGCCAGCCACCCTACATCCAGCCTGCTTCTGTTCCCTACTTCCCACCCAGACCTCACAAACTCACCCCTTCTGCCCCCCACCTCCCTCCCAGATCCTGCACCCCATCCCTGTCCCGCTCATTGGCAGTCCTCTCACACACACCTTATTTTTGTCCCCACTTTAGAACCTAACGGGTCCATAAAATTCCTCAGAAAGCAGACCTAGCCTATGGAAAGCCCTGAACCTCAGTCCTCCCTGTCCCTTCCCCTTTTCCCTTGAGGCTGGAATGCCAGAGGAGTGAGGTGTCTCAGTTGGGGGCCACCTAAGTGAGGGTTGGAGTTTTGGGAGGAGTTTTTTTGTTTCTCGCTTGTGCGGACCCCATCTGATCATTCTGTGGGTCAGTGGCCCCTGATCCAAAAAAGGTTGCCTACCCCTGCAATAAGTAAAGAAAACATTGAAACCTTTTGTATTGGACATAAATTAATATTTTACTTTATTTAAAATGAAGTTTGATAAACTAACATGAGAAAGTTAAAACACTTCATCTGTTTAATAACTGAAATTAAACCATTCTCCCCAGCTGCAGCACTAGCAAAATGGCTTGGGTATAATTGTGTAATTAAAGGTGGGTTTCCATTAGCAACTGGCTGTCTGTGGAAAGGTTTATATTGAGACACATGGTCCACAGGCCAAAAAGCTTGAGAACCACTGCAGTAGAGGCACCCCTGGCCTCTCCCCCGCAAGAGACCACTGCAGGCTCCCTGCTGCTCCACAAGAGCCCAGAGAGATCAGGTCTGTTCCCACGGAGGTGAAATCACCACGTGGCTCCAGTGTGGATGATGGACAGACTCTTCGTGAGTCTTCCTCATCCAAGCAGTCGATCTAAACAGCGTGGTGAGATGCCACGTGAAAACACTTGGTGCGTCTACAGAGTGGCAGGACGTTTTGTCTCTCTCCAGAGACACTTGTCATGACTTGTGTCTCTGGGTGAACAAGACCCTTTGTGAGCTCTGTGAAGAGGTGAGAGGTTTTGACTTCCAGCTTCGAGGGATTTGTTCTTCTGTCTTTGGGGTGCACGTTGCTTTGACCTGAATGGAGTTAGCTGTGACAACGCATTTCTGTGTTATTCTGACACATCAAGTGAACCTCTGCTGAAGACCCCACGTTCAGTGAGAGAAAGCGCTCTCAGAAAAAGTAAATTCAAAGACTCTCCAATTTTCTTCAAAGATCACCGCTACCAGTTAGTGGGGCTTTTACTGATTGGTCCCTTATATGTTTGAAGGGTGACTAAATGTTATCTGGATCTTTTTGGGTCATATCAACAGATTGTTTTGGGCTCCATCCTAGATTAAAATTTAAATTGTATCAGGCCCTTTGTAAGCAGGTTGGGAAGTGGTGTCATTTGGCAATTATTATTCGGTATTATTTAACTAATATACACATTGCCATCATGGTATTGACATATACATTTCTCAGTACCTTTACATATAAAATAGCCCAGCCCCATTGACCTCCATGGGCAATGTACCTTGAAAGGAGTGATGGGGATATGATGAAGTTGTTTAAACAAATATGTTGCAATGGTAGAAAAAATGTTGTGTGTCTGAAAACTGTAGGTACTGGGGGTACTTATAATTTTTTTAAAGGGGTACTTTATAAAAAAGGTTGAGAAACACTGCTCTAAACCGTTGCTTTTGGTCTCCCTGTTTCCTTTCCCCTTTGACAAGTTGGGCAGGTAGCAGTTTTGGTAAAACTATATCAGACACGTGCACACAGTGCTCGCTCTACCTCAGCTGGTGCTGGATAATCAGAGCCTCAATTCTAAAGGAGTTGGCATTACTGCGGTGATCAATCCTCCCACGTTTTGTTGTGGATTTTGCAAAGAAAATGCTGGTGTTTTCTATAGGTCGCCCACATCTTCCAGTCATAGCAGAGACTTGAGATTAAACGTGGCTTTCTCAACTAAAAGTCTTATACATGTTTGGACGTTGTGATTGTCAATATCTGGCGAGGCAGTCTGCCAAGGGCAAGGCTGGCCTTGAATCTTGACATCTATGGCTTCAGTTGAGTGGCTTGTGTGAAATTTGGAAGAGCAGCTCAGAGAGATGTCTCTCCTTTACTGAAGGATAGAATCTTACAGCAGCCTGAAGGAAAAAGTCCTCATGGCAGACAGAAAGCCTCGCTTGCAGTGTATTCTCAGCCTTGGGCTACTTATTGTTTCAAGTGCCTTCAAGGAAGTTAGGGTGATTCTTACGTTGTGTGAGTTTTATTTAAAAGTTTTTTTCTGAGTCTTATTTTAACAGGTAAGTTAATCTCTTAGGGTACGTCTACACTAGCCCCCTAGATCGATCTAGGGAGGCTAATCAGGGCAACTGGAATTGCAAATCAAGCCTGGGATTTAAATATCCCGTGCTTGATTTGCATGTTCCCAGCCTGTCGCCATTTTAGAAATTGACTGGCCCGAAGTAACTGCCCATGTCTACACGCGGCAGTGAAACAGGATTCCAATTTAAGGCCCTAACTCGAATTAGCTGGTATTCCTCCTGCAATGAGGTTTACCAGCTAATTCAAATTAGGGGCTTTAAAACATGCAAATCAAGCGCGGGATATTTAAATTCCAGGGTTGATTGCAATTAGCCTCCCTAGATTGATCTAGGGGCTAGTGTAGACGTACCCGTGTAGACGTACCTGTGCATTCACTGACGTAGCAAAGGATGTGAGTGTGTGTGGGGGGGGTAATTTCCCTTCTGTTCCCCCATCATACCTCTGCTCACCTGCTCCTCCTCCACTCACCGCCACCTGCTGAAGCCTCCTCCCTACGTTTGCACCCCCATCCCGACCCTCCTCCCTCTTCAACAGTGCGATAGTGCCCGCCCCAAACTGGAGGGGGTGGGGGAAGATGCGGTACAAGCTCCCCCCCTCCTCCCAGGGCTAGGCTCAGCTGTGCACCAGGTTTAGGGTCCTGACACATGGTGGCGGGGAGGGGGTGCAAATTTTGCTTTTGCCCCCGGGCGCATAACACCCTCGCTATGCCTCTGTGGAGGCATCCCACAGGGCAGTGTTGCAGGAAGGCAGAGCTGATGCCTGCACTTGCTGGGATTCCCTCATAGCTCTGTGAGCTTTCCATGCCAAGGAATGCCTAAGCAACACCGCAGTCTCTCCAGCCCTCCCCCTGCAGCAGCAGCCTGCCTGCCGCTGTGCTCCTAGCAGGGCAGAACAGGAGCACTCCAATGATTTGCTTTTTGTTCCCCAAATGGCGCAGCTCGCTCAGTTGTCAGATACTTCCTGGAGCTTTGAAAGGGGAGGAGTGCCTGCCTGCAGGGCAGCAGAGATCACAAAACACTGAGCATAGCTATCAGGGCTGGCTTTGTGGGATACTGGTGGAAGCCAGTTCCCTTGACAAAACAAACAGCTGAGTCCACACTGGCTCTTTGTCAACAGTAAAGGGAGGAGAAAAAACAAAAGTCTCTCCCAGGGCTGGATTTTTTTGTCACCAAAACTGGATGTTTTTCCCAACAGAAGTCGCATTGCAGTGTAAACGCTCGCACTGCTTTGTCGCCAAAAGGCAGTTTTTGGCAACAAAACATGCCGGTGTAGACAAGGCCTTATTCTGTGACCTTAAAGACAAATTCACCTTGCATCTGTGCTTCAGTTTCTCCAAACATAAAGTCAAGGAAATGCTGCTTATTCATGGTATCAAGTTACTTTGAGATCTATGGTTGAAAAATCTGATGGAGAATTCATTCTTGGTTAGATATTTATAGTCAGTCTAAATGTTTCCGTTACCACATTCATCCCATTTGACTGGGCCGCAGCCTCTAGAAATGCCCAAAGTAATTCCATGACTTCCTTTCTATATACAGTGGTTGGAGTGTTTGCACAGAGTGCGGATGAAAAATACATAGAAATTGCTACTTGTGTGTTGAATTATTATGTTCAGTTCATGCTCTGCTGTTTGAGCAAATGATTATTCTCCTGTATGAAAACAAGGGCAGAATCCTTTCATGAAATTTGGTGATTTCATTGAAAAGAATCTCCTTAATATTAACTTCTTACTAGAATTGCTAAACATATCCCATGTCCTAGGCTCTGTTTCTGTAGGAATCATCTGATTCCTTATGTAACATACCAATTTCCTGGATCGTGCTGCCTCTATACGCAAATACCAATGGCTTAAAGCTCAAACAGGAGGACCAGCCACAATCTATCCAAGAAAAGAGGATTTTTCCCAAGCACCTAGCATTAGGTTATCAGTGTTCTGAGCTATTGAAAACTCACCTGTGACAACGAGTCTGGTCCCCTTCCCGAAATTGGGCTGTAGAAACACAGAGGCAGAGAGGCCGCAGTAATAAACCCCTGAGTCATTTCTTTGTACATTATTGATCTTGAGAGAAAAAGTGGTTCCCGCAGCGTTCACCTTACTCGAGTATTTTTCACTGGAAGGTTCAAACTCAGAACTTTGGTGAATGCTATGCAAGCTGCCGCTCGGTTGCTCCTTGTACCACAGCATGGTCCATTCGCTTTTCGAAGTTATACACTCCAGCTGTGCCGATTGTCCAGAGGTCAGCCACAGCTGTGCTGGGCTTTGCCAGATTTGTATCCCTTCTTCCGAAGCAGTCACTATGTGAGGAGGGAAAAGGGGGCAGGAAAGAATATGTTAATACAGTGAGCACTGGGAAAGTATGGGCTTTTGCAATATACTTTATAGAGCAGAGGGTCCAAGACTAACACAAAGCACATCATTGTTAGAGGGTCATTTTAATTTTTCTCTATTTCTAGCCATTTGTTTTGTTAGGATTCATATAGCCTGTGTGGTAATTAATGCCATGTAACAACAAAAAACAACCCCAGAGTTCAGAACACAGAGGTAAAAACTTCTAATTCCCTGCCCCTAATTATCAGACTACACATTCCCATTCATACTCATCATCCAAATCAATGGTAAAAAACCCTTCATTCAATTAAATTGTACATGAGAGATGCTTTTATTAACACAGCTCTCTGTGTTTCAAATTCTTCCTGTTTTTATTAAGTCAGCCCTTTGTGTTTCAAATTCTCCCTTTGACCATTCTACAGAAAAATACATCAGCCCCTGTGTAAGATACCAGCATAAAAAAAAGTAGATTTACTCCCAAATCCAGGATATTAACAAGAAACTTTTCAAGATGCTAGTATCTGACATTCATGGTATTTTAAAATAGAATATTTCATCACCTCTGTTTAGATTGCAATTGATGTATTAAAAGATGTGAGTTTCTCTCTCACCAGGTTGATGTTAGCACTTCTTGGAATTGCAGAAGGTCCTTGTGCAGACAGCAAATTGCTTTTAGCAAGGTAGAAAACAAGCGTGAAATGAATCAGGCTGAAATACTCACTGTGCAGATAGACTAGAAGCATCCCAACTGCATAGTGGGACATCTCGTGCCGTTCTTCAATCATGCATAGGTGATGCTGTGAGACCAACAGACGTCTGCTAGCTAATGGATCGCTTGATGAAAGACTTTGTCACGTGGAGAGGAAAATGTTCTGTTTCCTCTAAAGATCAGTGGGGCAAGATGCATGACAACAACAAAAAAAGAGGGTCAGGAGATATTAATAGCCCCATTCAACACCTTCTGTGAAAGTTGGCAGAGCAAACCTAGGGGAAAATATTCCTTTGTCTTAGTGTCTGTTAGAGGAGAAACTCGAGCTCAGATGGGGTAACAGCTTGGCTAGTGTCTCAGATGTAATATTCTAGTTATAATTGGATGCCATTAACGAGAAAGTCTTCAGGCTGCAATTCAGGTGGCATATTGTCTGTGCTTCTGAGATTTATCAGATCGGACGGTATTAGCATCGATTCAAATAATCTCTATTCCTTTGCTTTATGAAAACTGTTAAAATTGTGATTTATCACTTTAAATTTCAGTGGGGTTGCCTGCTTGGGCTTGCTGTCTGAACAGAAGTGTGCAATCTGGGTGTCGTAGCAGTCAGTCTGGAGAGAGGCAGCAGCCTATAACCAGGTAGGTGAATTTTGCCTCTCTGCTTGAGAGAGCAGCCTGCTTCATCTCTCTCTGGTTTTGATTGGTGGGGGGTTATCATTCTGGAGTCTAAGAACAAAGGTTGTGTTTGAAAGTTGCAAACTTTCAGCAAGAGTTTTGCATGGTTTTTTATCTAACTTCTCTAGGTGTATGCAGTGAATGTAAGACTCCCCAAGAGGCATGTAACACCATTGTAGCAAAGGATGGAGGAAACCAACAACCAGGCTCATTTGGATCCGGGGAGGGGGGTGAAATTAGCAAAAATACTTGTTTGTTTGTGTGGTTCGTTATTACAATAGATGAGGAAATGTCAGGGAGAGGAGCCCTGTGGGGAAGGAAGGGATGGGACTAGTGTGTAAAACTGTACTGGCATGAACCCCCCACTCTTTGGGGGCAAAACATACTTTCAGGAGACATTTCAGAAATGGGCAGAATGCACGTTCCCAGGATAAAGGACTGTGACAAAGTCTTGTCCCGGGGGCTGCCCTAGGAGAGCTTGGAGCCAACTCCCCTGTTAACGAGGAACTGGCAAAGTAGGAGCAGCTGACAAGGAGCTGTCTCAGGCAGAGTAGGGATCAGCTGAGCTACCTGGGATTAATTAGGGCCAGCTGACTCCTATACTGGCTGCTGGGGACCTTTTCAAAGCCTTGCCTGGGGGAGGAGAAAGCAAGATAGAGGAGAGAAAAGGAGTGTGAATGAAGCACCAGCAAGAAACAGGGGGGGGAGGCTGGGCTTCCTTCCTGCCCACCCCAGGACAAGCCACCAAGGTAACCTGCTTCTGGGGCTGACTGCTGGACACAACAGACTTTGTGGGCCTTGCCTGGGGCCCCTCCTTGCCAAGGGGAGATGAGCAGAACCCAGCAAGGGACAGGAGGCCCTTGCCACAATAGCCTACAGAGTGAGCAAAGTGAATTGCTTACGGAGAGATTCCAAATCTGACCCCTCTGCTCACTCTGGAACCCTGCGCAGCCCCATCCCTGTGGCTTGCCTGGACCTGGCTGTGAGAGCTGCAAAGCTCCAGCTGGGATTTGGTTGGCCGGGTAAAGGGGGTACCCGGGCTGGCCTCTGAAACCTCCGCCTCCATGCAATCCTACCGCAGATGCAGGCCAGAACCTCTGTGGAACTCGCTCTCTGGAGCTGATCCTCTGCCATATGTAAGCTGCCCTAGACTGCCCCAGCTGGGTATGACTCCCACAGAGCCACTTGCCAGCTGGGAATACTCCGAGTGCAGCCTGCTTTGGCCAGACCCCACCTGCCAAGAGCTCCTGGCTGCAAGGGCTGGCTCTGCTGCCTTTATACCCCCTGGCACGTGTAGCCAGGTCCTGCTCCCTTGGTGTTATGGGGCAGTGCAAAGGGAGGGGACCAGGGTCTGACCTGGCGAAGGTGAACGTGGTGCACCTCCCTTGCCTGGCCTTGGCAGTTCACTGGGACGTCAGCACAGAAGGGAGGAAGGAGGGTGGGGTAGTCAAGATGTTAGCCAGGCACTCAGGGTGAAATCCCTTCTCTGCCACAGGCTCTGCGTGTTGCAAGGCTGGACCTGTCCCAATAACTGTCAAGCCTTAGTCTCTGTTGAGAGTGGGACTTCTTAGAACATGCCTCCCCAAGTCTCCCTGGGCCCCCATTCCCCAGCTGTAAAATGGGGACAATTATACTGTCTTGTCAATTTTGATGATGAGTTGATTGGACATTGACTCTTTTTGTACAGAGATTAGCACAATGGTATCCCAATCTCATCTGGCACGATCTTTACACTAGCATGTCTAATAATAATAAATGACCCTTTTTATTTGGATTGTTCTTTGGAAATAACAATGCTAAGGTTCAGGAAAGGATATTTTATCTATCACTGTCTAGTGTCTTCTGATACTGGTTGTCAAAATAACACTCTTGTGCTGATTTTATTTAAATATAATTTTCAACATTGGTTGCCCATTTGGTACCCCCAGGTCTACAGGAGAACAATACTACACACAAGTTGCCACAATAATTAATTAAGCCTGACAATATTTCAGAGCCACAGAGCAGAGTCAGGATTTGGTTTAGCTCTCAGAAAGAGGGGAGTGATCTGGAATATGGTGTTAAAATTCTTTCCTGAACTGATTTTGCAGGGCCAAATTGTCCTGTGAGGATCAGAACTTGTTGAGTCCATCAGAGGTGCATGCACAAAAAATGTACAGCCCCCCCAAAATTTCCCATACCAACATCCTGGGAAGCTCTGCTCCCCCAACATCCTACTCATGCCAGCATTCTAGGAAAACCCTCCTACAACAATAGCTTTTAGCAAGGGAGTTGGACTCAATGACCTCCTGAGATCTCTTCCAATCCTAGGATTTTATGATTCTATGATAATGAACCATAGACTAGAAACATGAAGTAAGGAGGGTCTGAATCAATGCTTTCATTACAGCCAGCTAGAATGGGAAAGGAAACTTGGGTGTGGTTATGTTCATTCACTTGCTTAGGCCTGCTAGATATTCTATTGTTATAATGGTGTTTTGCCTATAGTAACTCATTTGATTGTTGTGGAGTCACAAACTGTGTTACCCCTAAATGCAAGAATTGTAAGATATGACCGCCAAAGCTTGCATTTATTGGGAATGCTGAAAAGCAGGTTGTGTTAAATCAGTTCAGAGGAGAGAAATTGTCAGTTTAAAGAATCTCAGATGGACAAGGCTTCTCCTTCCAAACTATATGAAGTCAACTTGGGGAGAAGGGCAAAGCTCTGAACCAGCATGCTAATGCCCTGCACTTTGTTTTGGAGTGTCTGATAGTTTTTGTTGATTTCGTTACTACGTTGTGTGTGGGTGTGTTTAAAAAAAAAATAGGGGGCTCCAGGACAAACTGCCATGGTTGTGGCAAAGGCCCAGTTGTTTAAAAATAATCAGAACTGGCTGCTCAGGGAGCTGTTTGCTACTGCGGTCTGTTTCAGCCCACCTGTTTTGCCACATTTGTTTTGTTTGTTCAGCTAGCACAACGCCGGGGCTGGCTGATTTTTACAGGTCTCTCTCCCCAGGTTTTGTTACCAAGGAAGTGTAAATTGCTGCCCCACAATTAATCTGCTACCCTCCAGCGGGCAATTACAGCCAATCTCCTAGATGCATACAGGCAGAGCAGGCCTCAGTGACCCCCCCATGCTCTTGTGACGGCTGTATTTCCAACACATGAGCTTGCACTTGTCTGTCCAGCTGGACAGGGAACAGCCCTGCCAGCTGCAGAGTAGATGTACCCTTCAGCAACTCGGCAAGGGCCAGCTTTTGGAAAATCGGTAACCTGCTTCTGGGGCTGACTGCTGGACACAACAGACTTTGTGGGCCTTGCCTGGGGCCCCTCCTTGCCAAGGGGAGATGAGCAGAACCCAGCAAGGGACAGGAGGCCCTTGCCACAATAGCCTACAGAGTGAGCAAAGTGAATTGCTTACGGAGAGATTCCAAATCTGACCCCTCTGCTCACTCTGGAACCCTGCGCAGCCCCATCCCTGTGGCTTGCCTGGACCTGGCTGTGAGAGCTGCAAAGCTCCAGCTGGGATTTGGTTGGCCGGGTAAAGGGGGTACCCGGGCTGGCCTCTGAAACCTCCGCCTCCATGCAATCCTACCGCAGATGCAGGCCAGAACCTCTGTGGAACTCGCTCTCTGGAGCTGATCCTCTGCCATATGTAAGCTGCCCTAGACTGCCCCAGCTGGGTATGACTCCCACAGAGCCACTTGCCAGCTGGGAATACTCCGAGTGCAGCCTGCTTTGGCCAGACCCCACCTGCCAAGAGCTCCTGGCTGCAAGGGCTGGCTCTGCTGCCTTTATACCCCCTGGCACGTGTAGCCAGGTCCTGCTCCCTTGGTGTTATGGGGCAGTGCAAAGGGAGGGGACCAGGGTCTGACCTGGCGAAGGTGAACGTGGTGCACCTCCCTTGCCTGGCCTCGGTAGTTCACTGGGATGTCAGCACAGAAGGGAGGAAGGAGGGTGGGGTAGTCAAGATGTTAGCCAGGCACTTGGGGTGAAATCCCTTCTCTGCCACAGGCTCCACGTGTGACAAGGCTGGTCCTGTCCCAACGACTGTCAAGCCTTAGTCTCTGTCGAGAGTGGGACTTTTTAGAACATGTCTCCCCAAGTCTCCCTGGGCCCCCATTCCCCAGCTGTAAAATGGGGACAATTCCTGCCTGCTCTGCAGCGGGATGGTGAGCAATGTTCCCTCTAACTTTTTCCATACATGTGTGGAACAAATTTTGTTCTGCGCACTGTGGCCTGTGGATGTGCACCCCCAGGAGAAACAGGCTGCTGGGTGTGAGCACTCCGCTAATCAGCTGGGCTGCCCCAGCACTCCGCTCATAGGGAACACAGGTGATGAGGATAAATGAGCACAGAGCTAGATGAACAGAGCTTTGATGAGCTTCTGACAGCATCATAGATGTGCTGCCTACAGCTACGTTGGTGTCATCCTGTATACGGGTCCTGTGGAGCAGGCAAATCAGTGTAGCCAGCGTGCAGGCTGTGATGTTTGGCATGGTGTTTACAGTGATCATGAATTTGAAGACACCCCATCACCTCTGCACTGGCAGCCCCTGGCCAGTGAGGCTGGGCCTGGCTCCAAGCAATGGGCTGTTCCAACCTGGCCCAGGAGATCTAGGCTTGGTGCATCTGTCCCTCCAAGGGGCGGACACATAGGCGCTGGAACTGGGGACGTGGTGGGTGCTGAAGTACCCCCAGGCTTTAGCCGGTCCCAGCTGCTGGCCCTGGAGTTTCTCCCCCTCCTCCTCCTTAGCCTCCTGTCCCCAGATGCACTAAACTTGAGTGGCGCTGGGACCTCGAGGGCCAGATCGTAGTGCTGGGAGCCAGCCCCGTGGGGCAGGAAATACCGCTGCATTGTGGGTGCAGGGTGCTCACGGGCTCTCCGCCCCCTACCCCCAGGCACCACACTACTGCTTTAAAGGTGCAGGTAGTGTGGTGCCTAGGGAGGTTTGCTAAATCAATGGGAGTTAGGCATC